TCAAAGTAGACCCATTGCCAACCCTCCAGCAGGTTTTCAAAGATAGTAAATCACACAGGAGAAGATTGTTCACCCTTCTTCCATGGAGCAACTGATGAATTTGAGTCACATGCCTTTGAGATTGCAGCACAATTTCTTACCACTCGGCCACCAGAGCTCCCTAGACATTTGTAGACATGCTCAAAGTTTCCACCACAGACATTTACTGGGACAGTAGTGACTGGACTCTGTAAGATGGGCTCTCTTGTTTTGGTTGAGGGTCATTGTGAAATGCTCGTTTTGGTTTTTTTTTTTTTGTCAGTTTTTGTTCATTGTAATTATTAATTATTATTATTGCCTCTTGTTTAGAGTCAACAAAACCTTCTAAAGGGCCCTTATTTATTTATTTTTAATAAATTGGGTGCGGGGGATTATCTTGAATCCTTTGATACTATATTTTGGAGAAACATTCTTCTAAGTTGTACAGCACTCCTCCGTCAATTGCTGTGCCGAGATAATCTAGGTTTGCTGTGATGCTCAACCTTTTACCATTGGGTCTCAAAAGCCATAATGGCTGCCCATGGTCGACTGTGTTTGATGAAGCTCCAAGTTTTAAGAGAGGTTGGGGAGCAGGAGTAGCATCCACTCCCTAAACCACATTCCTCTGGAAACTCTATGAACTTGGAGAAAGTAAAGTTATAGAAAAGGTCTTCTGTTCATGGAGTTGCTATGAGTCAGACACGACTCAATGGTAATCATCATCATCATCATCAACAACAACAATAACAACAACAACATGAAACCTATACCTAAATCAAGAAAGTGTTATACAAATAAATCAAGGTAATATACAATAGATTAAAATCAAAGAAGTAGTGCATTAACACAGTCTATATATTGAAAAAATTATTAAAAAATTATGCTATATGAAGAAACATGTGGCATCAGAATAGGAAGAGATTGGGGAAGCAGGGTAATGCTTCCAGATGGGCATTTTTGGGTAGTCAAAACCAATGAGAATGCTTTATTAGGGAGGAAATTGGAATGATGGAGCTCATGGAGTTTGAACCTTGCCTTGGTTCTTAAACTTGGTTGGGCCCAAGGGCCTGTTATTAATTGTTTTTGGTCAAACATTCTTCTAAGTATAGCACTGGTCAGTCCATTTGCTGTACAGAGGTGACTCGTGGTTGCTGTCATGCTGAGCACTGTGACACTGATGTGTCAAATGCGATAATAGTTACCTGTGGTGGGCAAGCTTAGAAGCAGGATTAACATCCACTTCCAAAATAGCTTGCTTCTGGAAACCCTATGAACTTGGAGAAACAATGGAAGTTATACAAGTGTTCAGGTCTTTTGTTCATAGGGTCGCTATAAGTGGTCTATGACTTGATGGCACTTAACAACAATAACAACAACAACAACAACAATATAGCTAAAATTTAGGGAACTCTGGTAGCCTAGTGGCAAAAAGCTGTGTTGCAAGAAGCAGCTATGTGTTGATTCCAATTGTATGGTACACAATAACATAACTAAAATTTATCTTTCTTCATATGTTGTGTACTGTTAATTCCAACTCCTAATAGATTCCTACTGATCTCATAGGACAGAGTAGAAGAGCTCCATAGAGTTGAATAGGATATAATACTTATGAGAACAGTTCAGCAGGTCTTTTCTCACAGAGCTGGGGGTGGATTCCAGCCACCCATTTTTTAGTTAGCAGCTCAGGGTTTAACATTTGTGCGACTAGGTCTGCTGCTGCTGTTGTTAGGGGCTGTAAAGTTCACTCTAACACACAGTAACCCTCTGAATGACAGAATAAAACCCAGTCCAATTCTGCACCATCTTCATACTCTCTGCAGTGCTTAAGCCAATTTGTTCAGTCATTATATCAGCCTGTCTTGTTGAGTCGTCCTTTCACTGGCTCTACTTTTTCAAGCATGATGTCGTTTTTCAAGGCTTGACCTCTTCTGATACCATAGCCAAAACATATGAGACAAAGTCTTTATGGTAATTTAAATGTTATCTCAAGCCAGCCTCTGTAGGTATTTCTCTTACTCGTTTTTGTATGACCTATGTTCTGGCCAAATTTGACTTCCCAGTGTTTCTCGAATAAATGTCATTTTTTTCCCCTTCCCTTGGTGCTCTGGCTTACTAGGCTTTTTCCTAGGAAATGCTTCTCTAATTCTCTTTCCCCTCCTTGTGATTTTGTCTGCTAAACTCCTACATAACTTCAAGTCTTTGCATTCATATTACCTGTAGTGTAAAACGTTTGTTTGTTTGTTTGTTTTGTTTTGTTTTATTTTTTGGTGTAAAACGTGTTTATGTTTTAATATAAATACGTCTCCTTTAATGGAGAATAATGGCTAGTTCCTCTAAACTCACATGATATTTTGTCTTTATTGTGTTTCCTATTGCAATTATCATTATTAATGTTTATGTTTGCTTCCTTAGGGAGCTCTGATGGCCTAGCCATACTGTTAACACAAAGGCTTGTGGTTCAAATCCACCAGCTGCTTCATAGGAGAAAGGCAATCTTCTTCTCTGTACCATGAGCTGTGAATCAGTTCTTATTCGAAGGCACATAACAATGATGGTAACAGTTATGTTGTTGTATAAGGTCCTTGGAGGGGGCACAAACAACCCTCAGGCATATACAGCTATATGTTAACTATCCACAGCTCCACATCATCTGCATTGGCTGTTGCATTGCTTTGTACACCAAAGCACTTGATAATAAACAATGAGTGTCACAACTGGACTTTTCATAAAGCTCTATATATCTCACATTGAATAATTTGAAACAAATGTGGAGATGTAATATTTTCTTAAATTTGGTGGCCTTTGCTTATTAAACTTCTATTCAAGATCCTTTGGCCTGAGAACCAGGGAGCTGTGAGAAACAGGTTTCCAACCATCTCTTCTAGGCTCATGAAATACAATGTTATTATATTTATAGGAGCCTGTGGAGGCCCCCAAAACATAACAGCACAATAATATATCAGAAACCCCTGTCATAAATGAGTTGGATAGTGTAAGCCAACTTGAAAGAGAAAATAAAATATTATAACCCTGACTTGAAAAGAAAATATGGTGTGTGGTTTATTGCTGTGGATTATGAAGGAAGAAAGAACTGAATTTAAGTAAAAAACAGAAAAGCAGTGACACTCTTTAAACTCAATACAGTATTCACATGGCAGACACTGGACTTTAGAAAGCCAAACCTTCAGGCTCCTGCTCTGGTCTATAAAATAGATGTAAAATTGCTCCTGCTACATTATTAGTGTGCCATTCTGAAGGCAAGGAATGCTTAGGGAGAAAAACAACCTTGAAGCCAGCATGATTCTTTCAAGTCAGAGTCTGTTTGTCAGAATCTCACGTTGCATTTTAAAGACTTTTAAAGGCTGTGGCTTTGGGAAATTTCATTCTGAGGAAATGAGACAGAAGAGGGACTTGGAAAGATTTGCAATATCGGAAACAACTTCAGTTGTCCTCGTGTTAAGCACTGCTATTATCAGAAATATGAAGATAGTCTTAAATAATGAGATTTCCTATAGGTAGAATTATGGTCCATCAAGAGTACCTTCTCTTCTTTCCCAAGCTTCCAAGTGCTCACTGTCCTGATTGCTTTAATATAGAGAGTGATCAACATCTGTTCCAAACACGAAAGTATCTACATGCCTTCTATGACCAAGGTTGAAAGAAGAAACACTAGAGTGCGTATGGAATTTATTGGTTGGGCTTATTCTAGACTTCAGGCATGGAGGTAATACGTACAAATATGAATGGGCTTGGTGGGACCAAGATAGGATGCCATCAAGGAGGACTAGTGCATTGAGTGGAGGTTAAACCACAAGGTCCCTGAGGACCATTGTAGCTCACATGACACAAATGGATGGCTGGGTTTGCTCAGCCTTATGAAGCTGCTTGTTTGTTTCTTCTGAATTGCCTGTGAGGTGAGGAGTCTGCATGAGATGTACTGAATCTTGTACCATCCAAACATTTGTAGAGAATTCTTTAAGCAAGAAGCATGGAAAAATTGAGCAGCTTTTTGGATCTTTCATGCACACATTTCAGGTTATTAAATGAATAATTCCTAGTGACAGGGAAGGGATAACCAAGAGAAATGGAAATAACTTAAAGCTTTTAGGTTGAGACAAGATTGTCTGGTCAACTAGTTCTGCCTGTTAATTTAGTGAGTAAGTTAATGGAATGAATTATTAATTAATTAATTAATTTTTCTTACTCTTGCACTCATCCATTAATTTATTCTGCAAGTATGAATTTATTTATCAAGCATTTTCTGTTAGCTTCTTTACAAGGCTTTTTAAAAAAATATAATTTTTTCATGGTGATAAATTTATGTAATTGTTTGGTGCCATCAAGTTGACTCTGGCTCATAATAACCCCATGTACATCAGACTGAAATGCTGCCTAATCTTTGTCCACAGCCCAGTGATACTGCTCATCATGTGAGGTGCCTTCTGTGTGTCATACCATGGACCTTCCCATTTCCCAGTTTTCTGTTCAGTGTTTGTCTCTCACCATCCTGAGACAAGGAAAGTGAGCTGAGGAAAGTTTATGGAATCACTTCCTGGGCAAGCTTTGATGTTTAGTGAGAAGTTGAGCCAAGTGGATCAGACATCTATATACCAAGCTCATGTGTTAGGTCCAGCTTCAATTAAAGTACCAAGCTAAAAGAAATTAAATGAAAACAATAGGTGTCCTTAAGAGAGTGTTTTTAAGTTTTAAAGATGTATCAAAAAGATCAATACTATATATGCACAAAACCCAGTTTTTAGGGTCTATTCCAACTAGTGGTGATCTCATGTATTAGAGTAAAATTTCTCTACAGGAGTTTTCTGGCTGTAATCTCTAGGGAAAAATATCACCTGGCTTCCTTGTGCAGCACTACTGGGTGGGTTTTAACCATTAATCTTTTGCTCTAAAGTTGAGCACAAATCATTAGCATCAACCAGGAACCTTGATAGAAATATAACAAATGCCTTTTTGCCTATTTCCAGATCACCAGATTAAAAATAGACCGGAACCCTTTTGCTAAAGGATTCAGAGATTCTGGAAGGAACAGGTAAGAATAACTGAGAAGACAGTGACTTTTTTTTGCCTCTGTAATGTTGAGTCTCAAGCGACTTGATGGCACATAACAACAACAACAATAACAACAACATTATAATCCCAATTTCTATTCGTGGCCCCTGGATCTTGCTTTTTGAAAAAAAAATATTTGCATGCTGCACTCCTGTGTTGACTCACATAGAGAGAAATGGACAAGTGGCCCAATAATGAAAAAAGGCTAACTGTTAATTCTTTGTTAACACTCTTGACATAACCATCAAATCCATCATGATGCCCTCCCTCACCCCTACTTAGAGTTTGGTAGTCAGTACCTTAAAATAAATCTTATGGATTTATATCACTAAATTATTTTGATAATTTTTTTCTGAGTTGCGTGTTGTTGTTTTTTTTGTTTTGGTTTTTTTTAGTGAGATAATGCTTGCAGTGATATCTCCTTATCAGGAAACAGTGAATTGTGGACAAATAACATTTTTCAGAAAATTAAGAGTGAAAATTTTATCCAAACTTAATACATTTTCCCTTTAGGAAATATCTCCAAAATGTATCATAAGGTTCTTGCTTTAGTAAAGAGAAAGTTTACACAACACATCACAGAATTCTTTCTTGGGAGTTTTTGCATACACTGAAATTCATAGGATTTGTTCTAATTTGTAGGATTATTAGCTCTGTGGTTTTAATGACTTATAATCCTCCTTTCTGGATTCTTCTAATGATTCTCTGCCTGTATAAAAATAAAATTTATTTTCTACAAAATGTAGATGAGTGTCAAAGTTGTAGGAATCAGTTCTAAGATTATTACAGCAGACACTTTCATTGACTATGTTGTTGTTGTTGTGTGCCATCAAGTGGAAACTGACTCATAGCTGACCTTTCGGTGAGTTTTCAGAGGCAGTAAATTGCATGGGAGGAGACTGCCCATCTTTCTCCCTTAGGGCAGCTTATGGGGTCAAACTGTATGTCTTTAGGATTTCAGTGAAACTTCTTCCTCTAGGACACCAGAGCTCCCCTCATAAAAAAAAGTACTAAATTAGAAAATGTGATATTTGTGTCTTATATTTGCATAAGCTTTGTTATAACCATGTAATCATATTCTCTGGAATTTTTAATTTTAGGGGAGCAGTTCTTTAAAAATTCAGATTGTCAGAAATCACACTGTTGAGCAAGAGTGATGCAATTTAATGATTTTTGTTAGCTTCCTGAAATTATTTTAAGATAAACTGTCTACTTTTGTATTTAAAATTTAGATATTTAAAAACCACCTCATGAAATATGTTGTATATAATAGTAGAAATCAGAATGACTTTAAAAACCAGTTGGGATTGTTACCATTATAAAAAGCACATGGAATCACTTTTTTGTAAAACCTCATATTTAAGAAAACTCACTGCCTTTAAGTTGGTTCCCACTGATAGTGACTATCTGATTTCTAAGCCTGTTACTCACAATAGGAGAGACTCCCTATCTTTCTTTCTTAGGGATGCTAGTGGATTCAATCCACCTGAGATGCCTGGATTTGGGTTTAGCAATGAAATGATATATGGACCACTCCACGAGAGTGCCTGTAAAACTCTTGTTTCTCTCTCAAGTAAAAATTGTCTCTATAGCTCTATAGCTCTCTTGTAAGTTTCTGAGGTTGTAAAGTGCATGGAAGGAGATTACTGGTCTTTCTGCTGAGGAGCTGCTAGTGGATTCAGACTGACAGGCATGTGCGCCTTTGAGTTCACAGTCCAACTCCCTGTGGATGATGCGACCAGAGAGCTCTAACTTTGGGAACCTGTGGAGGGTTGCTATGAGTCAGAACTGACATTTTATCAATGGGTTTAGTAAGAACCCAGATGTTGTAAGTAGACTTGTATGTGGTTGAATAGGCACATATTTTTGCCAGGTAGAGTTTGAGAGCTTATTTTGAAAGAGATTTTTAAAGAGGTCATAATCTGAGAATTTCTGCTTTACACATAATTATTGGACCACAGTGGCTAACATCATTGACTTTAGTTTTCCATCATTTTTTTTTCTTTTTAATTTCTTCTATAACTCAAGTAGCAACTAAGCAACTAACATTTATTTTCTTCTGGCACTACAAAGATTATTTCCTTTTAATTTTCCAGTTTAATTTTCCTGCACTGGAATCCTTGTTTTTCACATTTCTGGCCATTTTATTAAATTTCAATTTGATTCTTCAATAACTGTTTCCCTCCTTGGAAATAGCCTTTGAATATACGTTGACCATTTGTGATCTGCATTACATAGTTGTTAAGAAGTATATAAATGTATATGCCAGTTATCAAGTGCTGAGGAGAAAAGTAAATCAGTTCATCTTTCCAATGAAATTCACTGACTGGTGTTATAGAAGCTGCCAGACAATTACTTGATTTCTCTGAAACCAGGAAGTGTAAAGAGGGAAGTGTGCTAGGTATGTGTTTGGAATTCTGAGGAAATCCTAGTGTCTACAGATTATGGTACTTGCCCAAAAGATGACTCAGCAGCTTGACATGGGCAGTGCTGAGGCATGACAGAATAGAAAGTCAGAACCTAGAGGTTGTACTGATCAGCATTAGAGTTAAGCTCTGGAAATTGAGCCCACTCGTTAGATCTTAAGAGCAAGAATGAACATTACATCTTAACCGCTTTGCTGCTAGTCAGGAAGATGTAATGACATCTCAGTTTAAGTGCCAAGGTCATCCTGACCCCTCTGTTGTCTAGAAAGCCTGAAGTCTGCTGAATGCCTTTCTGTCAGGACAGTAGTTGTTTGTCTGTCTTGCTCTTTTATTTGTAAGGACTTCAGGAAAATAGTACTTTGGAGCCTCCCTAGCTCATTTCACTGCCTCATTAAGCATTTATTTTTCTGCTAGAATGAAATTCCTCATTATGCTCCATTAAAACTTGCTGGTGACTTTGAGGACTATTAATAAATATAATAGCTACTTGTGTTTGCACATTGTTACACACACACACACACACACACACACACACGAGTACTGAAGAGCAATGCTGTCAGTCTAGAGACTAAGGTGCGCATGATACAGGCCACTGTCTTCGCAATTACTTGTTATGCATCAGAGAGCTGAACAATGACTAAGAATGATAGAAGAATAATTGATGCTTTTGGGTAGTGGGGCTGGAGAAGAGTATTGAATATACAATGGACTGTTAAGAGACAAAAACAGGCACATTCTGGAGTGGGTAAAAATCAGGCTTCTCCTTTGAGGTAAGGATTGTCTGACCTACTTTCGACATATTGCAAGAAGGAACCAGTACTTTGTGAAGGATGTCATGTTTGAAAGGGTAGAAGCACATCACAAGAGGGAAAGACCCTAGATGAGGTAGATTGACTCAGTGATTGGGGTAATGAGGGTAGATGTGTTGGAGACAATGAAATTGGCTCAAGATAGAGCAGGGTTTAGAGCTGTTGTACACAGAATCGTTGTGAGTTGCAAGTGACTCAAAGAAACATAGCAATGACAACAAGACCTACTTATGTTTTCCACAATTCTCAAACAAACCTTTATTTTATACATAGGTCAACTGAGGCTCAGTGAGCTTCAGCAGCTTTGCACAGTAAAAGCTGGAGCAGGGTTAAAACCTGAGCTGCCTGACTGCATAACTCAGTACTCTTTCAACTTTATCATGTTAGTAATTTAAATTTTACTTATTTTTTCTTCATAAGATGTGGAGAACAGACGTCTTCTTAAAAATCCTTCATCTTCTTTAACATACTACTTCAGTCACACAGAACCTTCTCTTTTGAAAACAAAACAATCTGCATATAATCAGATTGTTTTTAAAGACTGCACCTTATAGCTTGATCCACTGTCTAACACTCTATAAACAAGGGGTTAGTAGAGGCCAGGAATGCAGGCTGACTTTCACCAGCAGGTGTAATTGGTGTAATGACAAAAATGGAAGTCACCTGTGTCACAATGGGACAAATGAATGAATTATTAGAGGTAGAAGCATTTCAGTGCTCTGTGAAGTGAGATTGAAAAATAATAAAATTATTCATAACAGTATTATTCACTATCACAAGAACATGGAAACAGCCTAAATGTCCAACCACAAACAAAAGAATTGAGAAAATATGATACATTCACGCAATGGAATACTTTGCAGCATGAAGGAGCAATAACTGTAAATTATTACCTAACTTGGGAGGGACTGAAGAGCGTTAGGCTGAGTGAACTAACTTGGTCCCATAAGGATAAATATTGTATAAAACCATTATTGTAGAGTGAGCATAAGGATCCAGGAGGGGTGGGAGAGGCTGGAAGCAGAGGGATGTGGATATGAAGGGGGAGGGGAGATTAATCATTGGGTTGTACAATTTGCTGGGTGGGGGTGGTGGTGAAGGAAATGGAAAGAATTTGTTCAAATTTTGTGTTCAAATTTTGTAAACAAACTAGTAGAGAAAAAAATTAAAAAAATAAAATTGTTGGTGTAAGTACAGATGTTTTGTATTTCTCATTCTCTTTTTTTTTAACATATTGGACTTTATTAAATATATAGATCAAGTTGGGAAATAACTGTCACCTAAAATATATTACTTAGGTTAGGGAGACACAATAGAGCCTCCCTAACCATAAAAGTTGTTGTTATGTGCCATTGAGTTGCTTGCTACTCAGAGCAACCCTATGTACAAGAGCTCTAAATGCTGTTCTATCCTGTGCCAACCTAGCCATCTCAAACACACTCATTCCCACCACTCCAGTCACAAAATTGATCCATCTCATTGAAGGTCTTCCTCTCCTGCACTGCTCGTCCGCTCTGCCAAACATGATGTCCCTCGCCAAGGACCAATCCCTCCTTGCAACATACTCAAAGTATATCAGACAAAGCTTCAGAATCCTTGACTCCAAGGAGCATTCCGGCTTCATCTTCTCCAGGACAAACCTGTTCGTTCTCTTAGCAGTCCATGGTATATTCAACACTCTTCTCCAGCACCACAGCTCAAAGGCATCAATTCTCTTTCTATCATCCCTATTCACTCTCCAGCTC